GGGCAGAGCAGTGGAGGACAGGAGGCCATGGAGATGTCCCATCTATAGGGTTGCTATGGGTCAAGATTGACGCAAAGGCAGTTAACAACAACAACAATGAAATGATTCCTGATTGTAGCTTATTTTTCTTCCTCCTTTTTAGTGACATGGAATGGTGTATATTCTGATTATGAATTAAATTTTATATTGTGCCAAAATGTGGCAGCTCTTACACAAGAGCTGTTGAAGCTGGTATAGGCTGCAGAGAAAGGCAGTTTAAAAATTTAAAAGTACCCAAGAGAAAACAAGGAGTGTCCTGGGTGAATTGAAGTGTTGTTCTAGTAGAGACATAGTGGGTAACGATAAGTAAGGCTAAGGTTGCCATAATTCTCTTCCACAAAACCAGGAAAATGTAGAGCAAAATGTAAGACACTCAAGAAAAATAGAGGACATGACCAACTAAAATCCAAAAAACATTAAAATTTAAAACCATTAATATAAATTCATGCTTACCTCCAGCGCTGCTGGGTCTCTTTAGGCTGAGGCTGAGGTCCAGTATGGCCAGTCCATGTCCCAGTTGTGATATGAACATTGTAGCAGCCTCTCTGAAATCCACTTTTTCTTTTGCATTTGTTGTTGTGTGCCTTCAAGTCACTTTTAACCTATGGCAACCCTAAGGCAAATATATCATGGGATTTTCTTGGCAAGTTTCTTCAGAGGGGGTTCATCATTGCCTTCCCTTTTTTGAGAGCATGTGACTTGCCCAAGGTCACCCAGTGGATTTCCATGGCTGAGGTGGGATTCAAACCCTGGTCTCCAGAGTCCAATGCTCAAACTACTAGTCCAGTGCTCAAACTACTACACCATGCTGGTTTTCTTTTGCATAAACCCAATTATATGAGTCACACTTTACATGAACTACCCTAATCCACATTTCCATGATATTTAAAATAAATCATCTTCAGTCTATAGTTTTTCAGGCTGTGTGGCCATTTCTAGAAGAGTTTTTTTCTGACGTTTCACCAGCATCTGTGGCTGGCATCTTCAGAGAATACTGGAATGGAAGAGAGTCGGTCTATATATACTGTGAGACCCTGGGTAGGGAGGAATGATTCCCATGTAAACTGTGTATTGTCTTGTGTTGAATAGGTTTTGTTCTGTTGTTAATGGCATGGCTTCAGGGTGGGAGGATATGCAAAGAAGGATATTGTCTGCTATTGTCTGCTGGGAAAGCCCCTGACCCTGGTTGGTTTCCCATTTGCATTTGCTGAGTGCCAATTTTCTTATTTTGTAGGACTGGTAGCCAAACCTTGTTTACTTTAAGGGTTTCTTTTTTCCTGTTGAAGTTATCCAAGTGTTTGTGGATTTCGATGGCTTCCCTGTGCATTCTGACCTGATGGTTGTTGGCATGGTCCAGAATTTCAGTGTTTTCAAACAGCATCTTCAGTCTCATGATATTTTAGTCATTTATAACCAAAAAGGGTCTTCATTCTTCTGAATAAAATAAGCATGGCATACTGTTTATTCAGTTTCAGAACTCCAAACCCCAAAATGCAGTGGAACTTTGCCTGAAAAATGAACATACAAAACTGTTTCAGGTCTTGAGTGAACTGAGAAACTCACAATGTTTCAGTACAAACAGAACTAGCTAAAATTCAGTGACTGCAGGACGTTTTGCAAAATTTCATTGCTCAGTAAAAGGAAAATGTAATTTACAGCATTGTGCCTATGGGTCACCCATTCAGCCTTTAAATATTAGGATGAAATAAATACACAATCTTCTTACTGTTCCTTAACAGACCTATTTAGTGATATCTATATTCTCCTAGAATATCTAAATGAAAACTTCTCTAATGACTTCAAAGAGGGAAAAAACGTAACACACATCAAATCCTTATGTGAAGGGAAATGTGTCACATCCATTTGTATTTTGAGAGGGGATCTCAGCTTGAAAATGTCTATTCTCTCCAATGTCTCAATTTCCTTCTGTAATTTAATATCTCCTTTTAAGCTTTGGCCTATTTTTAAAATCTGGACCAAGATTATTTAATTCAACTATTTATTTTCACCATTTTGCCTAAAACATCAAAGGTGTTATCATTTAGTAACAATATACACAATTCTTTTAAGAAAGTTTATCCATTCATTTTAATTATATTTTTCAGCCCTGGTTATTGTCCTTGTGCCTGCAAAGAATGTTTCTAGCCATAAAAACCCATCATCTGCTACATTTATGTATAACCAGGGTATGTCCAGAGGGCAGAAATGCCACAGTGAAAGATTGTACCGCAATTCAGTGCAGAATTTATAACTTTCCTCCAGGCTAAACTGTCAGCTTGATCACACTGCCCTGACAAAAGCTCAAGTAAAGAAAAAAAAAAATGCAGATGTGCAGTTGGTCCCTTGTTCTTTGACAGTCCAGTTTGTTTGGAAACATTCAGCTGCACCTACAATAAACTGAACATCATGAAACACAGAAATGTCACTATGGTCGTATAGAATCTATGAAATTCCTGCTGTGCCTATGATAGGGAGTCAGGTTAGTGTAGTGGTTTTCGTGTTGCACTAGGACAGTGTTGGTGAACCTATGGCATATGTGCCAGAGATGGCATGCAAAGCCATTTCTCTGGCACGCGGAGCAGGGAAAAGGAGGAAAAGGTGTGCACCTATTTCTCCTCCTCCCAACCATACCAGGCCTTCAGCTGCCTCCAGAGAGGCAGCTGAAAGCCCAGGAAATGGAGGGAGGAGAAACAGGTACGCGCCTGTTCCTCCTCCTTCCAGAGAGGCAACTGAAGACCCAGGAAAGTGCGGAGGGGAAGTCTCACCCCCATAGAGTGGAGTTCCTGCCCTGGAAGTCCTGTTTCCCCCCAGAAGTCCTGCCTCTGGCACGGGTAACACCTGGTGCCAGAAGGCTGTTTAGTTTGGGCACTTGGTGCCTAAAAGTTTCGCCATAATTGCACTAGGACTTTGAGGAAGCCAGGTTCTAATCCCCAATTGGGCA